CTTAAAATCTCAAGCCACTCAGGGGTGGAGCAGAAGACATCAAAGAAAAGGTCAAAGCTTTGGATTCAAAGTTGTGGAATCAAAAGATGAGAGAATATGAAAGAGGCGGAAAACACAAGCAGATCTGAAGTGCAATGCTAAAGATAAGAAGAAACATCAAGAGCTTCTCGTGGGGAATTTCCACCTGGCAAAGATGGCTGGATAAATATAGGAAGGCTTTAAACTGCTTGCTCATACAGACAGGAAGTATAGGAGAACTAATACAACCTAACCATATAATGTCCAGAAGCATTTACTTGAAAGAAAAATATTTTATGTAGGTTTTGTGAGAACAGCTAAGTGGTCCATAGCTTGTTCCTCTACCCCCTCCCACCTCTCCATTACTGGTAGCAGGCTTAGCAGACTCCTTTCATATGATCCTCTTTGACACCCCACTATCTAGTTCTGAAGAGGGGGAAAGATAACCCTTTATATAGTGCAGTCAACAAAATAAAACATCAGTGTTTATGACTGAAGATCTGGCAGAATAAAATGTAATGTTACAGTAGAATATTATGTAAGTGGCAAGAAACTTTCTAAGTAAAATTATTGTTCTGCTTATCAGTTGGACATAGAAAGGGCCCAAGTATAAGAACCATGGCTGTAGCAACAATGAGGATAAATTGAGTAGACATAGCTGAAAGAAGTGCTGAAACTAGAAAAGTGTCCCAGAGGTTCAGGATTCTCCTCATGGTACTTGATTCAATAGATACTTTCTGAATAATTGTTTTCTTAGTTAGAGACACAACTTTCAAAAGTCTGACTTTTATTAACCAACTTACAGAAACAGGAGCTGTAATCAAGTGTCAGAGCTAAATACCCTGTTAGTGAATTGGCTGCTTGCCACTGTCTGGAGATGACACAAATTTCAGACAAAAATTTGCATAAAGCATAAAGAGAGATTTTCTTACAGGGGCTCATGGACCCAGGCTTTAGAACACTTCTTCTTCATAGATGTCATGGTTTGGGACAAGTAAAGTCACCCTAGGACAACAAAGTATGTTTCATTGAGATGAGGGATCTAAGGAAGAAAATTTCACTGAGGAGAATCAGCAATGGGTGGAAGCAGATAAAAGTGTGAGATGGAACAAAAGTGTAACAAAACCCGGGCCGGGGGGGGTGGGGGGGGGAGAAGGACTGCAACACTATTTAAAAACTCATAGCAAAAATGACTAATAATCTCTGAAAATGTTTGAATCTCTGCTGAAAACAATTTTTATACAAAAAGGGAAGATGAAATTTAGTGATGCATACAGTAAGGTTACAAAAATACATAATTTTCCTATGGTAAATTTACCAGAGAACATCCTGGTCTAACAATAGTTCTGTGGTAAATTTACCACGGGAACACTACATTTTTGACGACCACAGCTCAAAGCTATCAATCAAAGAATAAGGGCACTGTAAGCATTTTAGGAGAATTTTGGGTGCAATTTAAAAGAGCCAAGATGAATTTAAAGATAAGAAAGCATTCCTAAGAAGAGAGAACTGGAAAGCCACTGAGCAGTTGCCCAGAAATCTCGTTCAGCAGAAGGTTCAAATATTAGGAAATATTCTTTCATTACTTAGAAAATCGAAGTAACAATTTGATTGAATTGTTAAAATGAGGCAGAATTTTTGTAGCCATCTTCGAAGCAATTATTGCGTCCTCAGATAAGAAGCTGTTAGGTATAGTATGTTTGAATGTAAAATAATCAGTTTAATCCCATGTAATAAAACACAAAAATTCTGGAAAAGTGACAACAAGATAAAAGTTCATCACATGGAACAGAAGCCTTGCTAAGCATATGGCAAATACAGTGATCATTGAAAGGCTAATTCTTTGCTTCTTTCTGATTTGAGCAGTACATGCAAGTTTAGTCACATTAAATGATATCAATAGCACAATTTTTCTAAGCACAACCTGTTATGATAGACCTAGAATTCAGTCCAAGATGTCCCACAGGGGAAGAATAAGGAGTGATGCCATCAAAATCCACCAGGGACTTCTATCACACATCACATATTCTCTATCAGTCACATTCAAGACAGTTCAAATAATCTTTGGAGGTGAATATCTCATATACAGTCCAACCAGGGATGTATCATAAGAATGTTTTTATTTACTGAAATTTAAAAAATAACACTGTAATATAGAATTGTGAAAAATTAAAGTTTTTTGTGCAAAATTAAGAGTGATAGACCAGCAGATTAAAAAAGAGAGTAGATTTCAAGTTATGGTGCCAATATAAATCAAACAAACATCATTCTGGGATTAACCATATTAACAGAAGTATAGTACATGTGGGCTACAGGAAGTAATTTTCAATGTCAGGAGAGAAGCCTCTGCTGGATAATTATGTTGTTTGGAGTGCCATGGTTGAAAAAAACTGTAGACAAACTGAAACAGGCCACAAGTAAGCATCAAGTATGATAACTGGGTTGGAAAACTTGACCTGCACAGAGAGGTTGAAATGGTTTGTTTAGTCTAGAAAACAGAAGATTGGTGGGAGACCAAACATACTGTAAAAGTACAAAATGCCAGTAAGAACAGTGGGAAATTTCTTACGTGAATGCTAAGAGCTGTGCAAGTACATGGAGGGACTGAAACTGTAGCTGCAGGGTACGAAATTTGGACTTAGCAAGTCAGTGTAAAACTGGAGGAATAGTAGAGTCACTACAACATGAATACAGAACTAATAAGGTGCTAATGTTAATTATTTTTTGTATCAAAACTCACTTAGAGAAGGATGGTAACAGATATTTATTGTGGTAGTACTAGAAGTATGCAATAGACTTCTAAATTTATTTAGCTCTGAATATGACTAGAGATTTCACTGATGCTAATGTTGAAAATAAATAACTAGGAATTACACTAGTATGGAGGATATTGGTATCTGGCATAGGGACTGGACAATAAAAACAACAGTTATTCATAGGACCTCAGTATTCCTGAACATGAGGATCAACACTCCTCATTAGATATTCAGATAACTATAACTTAGCAACAATTTAAACACAGTTAATTAGGAAGTTACAAAATGCTGGCCATAGAAAATAAACTTGAATTACATGATCAAGATTAGACTCTAAATTAAACATCTGAGTAAACAAAGTACATGTAAAACAAAATTCCTGATTTCAGGGGCAGATGTTTTGATAAATTAAGGAAATTCTCAGCTGGACTGAGTAATTGTGAGATCAGAATGTTCCAAGGACCTGGAATGTATCCTCTCAATGGTGGAAAATATGGAAGGAAGCTGAATCCCAAGAGCAGAGAAGAAATGTGTATAGAAGAGGCTTGAGATAATGGATGTCTAGCCATCTTTAAAAGATAAATTTAGAATAAATAGCTATCTTATAAAATAATATACAAAAGTACAGACAAGCAAAAGAAATTGTGTCTTAAAAACCAGAAGACAAGAGTATGATTAAAAATTGAACAGAGGCTGAAACAAAATTACTTTCCAAGGGATAAGACTTGATATTGCTCTTGTTTAATATTTTCATAATAACTTGGCACATAATACAGGAGCTTTCTGATAAAATCTACCAATAATAAAAAACTGAAAGACAATAACAGGAAGGCATGGAGATATCATACAAGGATATGGATCACCTTTAAATCTTGAGTAATACAAGTGGGACAAAATTGAATAGGAAAAAATGTGAAAGTCATGCACTTAGGTGCTAGTAACAGAAGGTCCTCCCCAAAACTAGAAACTCTGTGCTTGGAAACAGCTAAGGAAGAGAAGTACTGAGGTATAAAAGGTCTTTCTAAAATGACTAGGAGCTTCTAATGGGACAAAGCTGTGAATGAAGCAAATGCTGTTCTATGACATACCAAAAGAGGCATTTCTAACACAAATAAGGAAGAGCAGTGTCACTGTGTAAGATCTGGCAAAAACATCTTTGTCTGACTAGTACAATTTTAATCATCCCTCTACAAGGAAACACAACTAAAACACAAAAGGAAAAGGGTTACTAGGTTAATGAGAGAAACAGAAAGGATATTAAAAAAAACCAAAAAACTGAAAAGACCATGATTGGTTAGAGAGCAAGAGAACAATTCAAAAGAGTTGTGATGATTGTCTATAAATACATCTGAAGAACAAGTACCAGTAAGAGGAAATAAGTATTTAATCTAAATAATAATGCTGGAACAGAAATAAAAGGATATAATCAGCCCTGAGTCTGAATAGAAATTAGAGATACAAATCATTAAAGCAAAGAAGTTCTTGAACTGTGTTCCTTTGAGAGTAATGGGGGCAAAAAACCCCTAATTGCTTAATGGACAAGGTAAGTTTATGAGAGGGATGATGTAACATAGCTTCAAGTGATTGCAGGGGTTGAATTTGATCATAGAGAAAGATCTTTTCAACCTTATGTTTCTGTTGTTATAAAAAAGTAATGAATTCTTTTTGCTCTGTTTCCACTAAGGCAGGATATAAAATGTTCAATTTCATTTGTGGGTTAGAGAACAATGTTGACTTTTTATAAGACACCAGACACTGGAGCATACTAGCTAAGAAAGTTTTCAAGAAGCACTTGAACAAATATTCGACATGGCTTTTCTAAGTGTACTGAGACTGACTTACTGATATGAGGTGGTTTTCTGAGGTTCTTTTCACCCCTAAATTTCTGTTGCAAAATATAAGCTTGTGTTTCTGGATTCTGGATTAGCAAAACAGCAAAAAAACACAAGTAATTTCTATTAAGTAATTTACATTCTACAACTTCTGGAGATATTTGCAGTGGTTCATTATTTATTATGTTTACACTGTTCAGAGTGTTTTAGAAAACTCATAAAGTAAGCACAGTTCCTCAAAATCTGGAGACTGGAGGGTTTTGATTTTCTTATCTGGAGATTCTGGTATACACACAGAATACCATTACTGTATTTAGCATTCTCTAGCAGAGAAGTTAGCAGCCTGGTGTGAGTTCCATTGTAAAACACTTTCCTTCTCTCAACTTCCTTCCAGAGTGGCAACAGGATTTTGTGTTCCATCATTCTGGACCACTGGCAGGGACCATCAATAATAAATTATGATGATGAGAATGGCAAAACATGCATGCACATTGCTGCCGCTGCAGGCTACAGTGATATCATCAGTGACCTGGCTAAAGTCCCAAAGTGCAACCTGCAGGCCCTTGATGTGGATGACAGGTAACCATGGAAACTCTGAAATTGCTGCTTCCTTTCTAATAACCTGAGACCAGCTCTGTTTACTATATAATCATGTTTCCTGTTTCACAGGCCATGGCCTAGTAATGCCCTGCACTCCACAGAGAACTGTGCTTGCTCAGAAACACTGCAAACCAGTCCAGCTCACATGTATCATACTTAGTATGATAACCAACTAGAAGGAATGATATTTAGTATTCTGTTTGTGCTAGAAAAAGAGATTATTTATGTAAGGACTTTGCCACCACTCACCTTCTATCAAGCAAAAGTGAGCATTCTTTTCAAAACAATAGAACAGGATCCTGCAACTTGAAGCCAGGATCCTGCCGTTATTTGTATTTAAGAAATGGCAGTGTTCTTAGTTGTATTTAAGATGAAAATACCATACTCCTATAGGACCAAAGGACACTCACCTTCCATTATGAAAAGACCTTCTGTGATTATTTCTCTATTTTATAGGTACAGAAGAGTCATCTTTCCTCTTTTTCACCCCACATCTACCTTCCTTAGAACTTTGCTCATAAATTTATTTAATGCAAAGAGAACCAGCTGGCTGTTCACATCAATTATTCTGCTCAGTGAAGCAAAAGCCAAGGTTTTCTTGGCTTAGGCCTTCAGGTGCTTAAAATAATATCATTCTTCATGGAAAAGCACAATATAACGGAACAGAAATAAAATGAACAGGGCTCTGGAGAAGTTTCTAAACGTCATTAAAATGTAGTTGAAAAGGCTGTGTTTCTATGGAAAGAAGAGCAAAGGGAGGAGATTGCCTACACTTCAAAGTTCATTAAGACATGGCCACCTATTCCATGTGCTCAGATATTTCCACAGAATGTATTATACTTGGAGAGGGAGAAGAGAAGCTTTTCACTACAAATACATATATAAGATTTTCATTCTATTGTGTTTCTATTGTGTTGTGATTACACCCAATATGAAATCACTGGAACTGAAAAGGAATAGAAAGAAAAATGTCAATTTTATTTTTTTATTCTTTAACACTTTTCTTGCAGTGTTGTCCATGCTTTCAGGTTTTTCACAAGAGCAAAATACTACAATTTGGAAACTGGACAGAAGCTTCCAAATACAAGATGCAAGTTTTCTGTCAAGCACAAAATCAGTTTGATTCTCCTGCAAATATTCAGAACAATTATATGTGCTCTGGTCTGTGCCTATCATAGAACTCAGAAACTGGTAAAGTGGCAGTCTAGTAGATGTGTTCAGTCCTTGTCATTCACCAGGGAGAGGCTTGTCTTATTACCTTCATGGAGAGTCCTGTGCCAACTACTTCTAATTGTGGTGTAAAGATGAGAAGAGTTTGTCCCTATGCAGTGGACACTATGAAGGTTTTTTTCAAATTCTGCTCTGAAAACTTCAGGCACTTCTCCTACTCACAATTCCAGCTGTGGAAGAGATGCTATTCTATAATGTATAGGCATTCTGCACCCCCATACCTACTTTATCTGCAGCTAATTAAGTGCAGCTACAATGGTGTGGAATAAGTTGGCTGGAGAATTTCTTAAAATGTATATTATGAATCTGGGCAAGTAGCATATCTTGTGCACGCCTCACTATGTCATAAATGGTTTCAATTGTAAATCTGTTCATCCATTGTAATGATACTCCCCCTTTCCTGTAGGACTCCTTTGCACTGGGCGGCAGCAGCAGGGAAAGCTGACTGTGTGCAGACGCTGCTGGAATTGGGGATAGACAGCAGCCCCCGAGACATCAATGAAAACACTCCTCTAACATACGCAATATACTGTGGGCACACAGCATGCATTAAGCTGCTGTCTCAGGAGAGCAGGTAAAAGTAAAGTTCACATCTTGCTCACATGTTGTCACTGACTAGAAAACAAATGTATTGCTTTTTTAATGCTACTTAAGCGTTTGAGCCCTCAGTGGTGTTTCCTTGATTCATAAGCAATACTCATTTCATTTTCCACCAACGTTGCAACATTACAGCTCTCTACTGAAGACTCTTCACTTTAGTTGCAGTACTACTCTACCAAGCAGCAGAGGATTCTGAAGATGTATAGCTCTTAGTCAGACACTTCCATGTAGAAAACTTGTATAACAGAATAATTTGAGCCCTCAGGTATATGTAACTTCCACTTCTTTGAAATCTTTCTGTGCACTCTCTGTGTGCTCATGTAATCAGACAGACAGACTGAACACAAAAGCTTCTTTGACAGACAATAAAATAAATTTCAAGCTTTCATCCTCAGAGTAAAGGTTTGGTAGTACTATTCCAGCCTTCTTTAGTTCTCTACCTTGATTTTTTTTTTTTTATTCTGAGTTCTTGTCTTTTAAAAAGTATAACAAAAGACTTACTGGTGACAATCTTCCCTTCTATGTATTCTTCCTTTTCATGTAATTAGCTTCTGTCCTTCTACTTCAAGTATGCACTTACATCCCAATTTCTTTGTGCTTTCCCCTCCTTTCCAGTCAGAAGTTATTATTATGTCTTGTGTTCCAAATGTGAGACAGAGGTAATATTACCTCTCCCCTTTCCCCTGCACTCTAGAGACTATTAGAAAAGGTCAGGGATTAGCCAAAATTTCATCTCAAAACCACTACAGCAAGACTGATACAATTTTTGGTTTTGCCTTTTTCTCTTTTATATGTTCTCTTTATTCTTCACACTTACATTTGTATCTCTGTAGCCTATTGTAGTAGTGACTAGTTTTCCCAGTAATTTTCCATGGCCTTTCTCTAGGCAGAAAGACAAAACAAATTCCAGAGCTCCAAGCCCCGGAGGGTACAAGGCTCCTATCTTGGTTCTTCCTGGGAACCAAGGTTGAGAACAACTCTTCCAGATACATTCTCATGGACAAAGTACAGCTGGTACCAAGGGAGGGATTCCAGAGAAGGGCCTTCACCTGCAGGAGAATTCCATTACTATTTGACCTCCTAATTGATGCTCTTTTGTCAATTATTCTAATTTTCTATAAACACATACTCACCTTTAGGGGGGTGGGCTTTTGTGGACGTCTTTTCATTACTGGCCCTGAAGGCCTTCAATAAAGATCCACTTTTATATTACCTCCTATACCAAAATTATCTTGGGTTTCATTTCTGGGTTGGAAAAGGCAACAATACCAGTGTAGGTAATTATCTTGACCAATCTGAAACTATGGTGGAACTCTTCAGCACAAGCAAGACAAGGGAAAGGACAAATGAGAAAGAGGAAAGCGGGAAGGGGAAAGGAATTACAGGAATGGTGAACTAATGACTTTTTTTACAGTGTTTGCAATGACTGGAAATACCTTTTTCCAAATGTGACATAATACAAGGACTACCTGACTTAAAAGATCACAGCATGTTCTTCTCATTATCATTAGATCTTCACATTTGGTAAATGCTGAATCCAGAAAATTTTGTTTGTTTTTTCCCAGATAGCTAATTTACATTAAGATGATTGTAAGGCAATTCACCAATAAGAAAGAATGAAGTAGCGTGGTAGCATTTTCAGTCTTTGTTTATTACAAATTTGGGATCCTAATTTTCTTGAACCACCTATGCAAATGTATCTGGAGAGAATATTGCTTCTTTCATTGAGTAACACGGTATTTTCTCATTGTTTGGTAATATTGACATCACATTTTGTTTTGTATTTCCAGTAGATTTGAGTCAGTTCATCAGTTTCCCTCCCAGAAAAGCAGACTTATAAAGAAAGAAGGACGCTTCAGTATGCTGAACCAGATCTTCTCTTGCAAAAAGAAGAAAGATGATATGAAAACCAGTCAGGAGAGAAGCAGGGATCAATATCCTGGAGAAGAGACCTCAGAAGTAGATGCTATCATCACCCGTTTTGATTGCATTATAAATAAAAATTGCAAAGACATTTCAGATGAGTGTAAGACCACCCCTGACTTTAAAAGAAAGAGCACAGACACTATGTACCTCACAGCAGAAAAGAAGCAATCAGCATGTCAGGGATTCCCACCCATCACCACCCAGAGCTTCCCTTCAATCACTGCAGGCAATTCCTTCCTAGCTGCTTCCCAAAGCAAAATGTCAAGCTTCTCCTCCAGCTCCAGTACCTATCCACACAAATCTCAAAAGAGTAGGAGTGAGCACAACTTGCTGGATAGCACAGGCAGCTGCCAGGCTTTGCTGGATGATCCCTGGAACACAGACTCTAACAAAAGACTCTCTTACAAAGTCTGTACTAGGACTTCTTCAGACAAACTGATGAATGGTTTAAACTCTGATAGATCTCACCATGTGCTTTTATGCCCTCCCTGCCTTCCCTCACTTCCCACTTCTCCATCAGGTAATCTTTTCCTTCTCTATATCCTAAACCTTACAATATCTACTGATGTGGCAAGCTGAGTCAGAAAAAAAGGTAGAGACCAATAACATTTCTATTTTTAATTTTTTTTCAGTTTCTTTATGTGGCCATACCAGATAGCATGTGGGTGGGACATCAGCTGAAAGCTGAAGCAAGGTACTTAGATGTGGGAAATAGGAGATTTAAGTAGATCTGATGAGCAAGCAAATAAGCAGGTATCTAGGAAGCAAATAAGTCATCTGAGCAATTAGTGCCTCCAGGTCATATATGTGCTTTGTGAATTGCACATTAACACCCACTACCACACCTGCTGCCTTGTGTTCACCTCTAGTCCTGGATGTGCAACTTGCCTTTGAATCTGTAACTGTGCTGAGAGCTGTTTCTGGATCCAGGCAGGTCCAGTGCCACACTGGACAGTTTTATGCCATGCCACTTTAACCTTGCAGGTATATTCTGACTTCAGGCTGCCGTGGCATCCCTTCCCACCCTAAATGCCACCCTGAGTGCCAGCTCTTTGGTCTGATGTGCTCTTCTTATGGTTTCTCCAAAGCTGAATACATGTTGTTAAGTTTAGAGATGCGACAAATGCTTTTATGCTGTGGTCTGGAAATTGTAATGCAATAATAATGAAGCAGATCATTAGAGTTCTAAGGTGAAGAGAGTTTGGCTGGATTTGGGATCTAGTATTTTGTTTGACTCATATCCATGTTTAAATGAATCTGCTTGGCTGGCTTGCATTCTGGAGTTTAACATATCAGTGTCTCCAAATTCATCTCCTTTGGGGTTAGTCCCATGCCAAAATTAAACACATCTAGCATGCCTTCCAACACTGCAATACCTAAGTGAAAATGAAGCAAGCAAAAGCAAACCCTAAACTTTCCAGTAAACCATTAAAAGGAGTAAAAATTTTAGAATAAGTTAATCTACACTTAACCCAAGAGACATGAGCCATTACCCTTCAGTGGAAGGAGGAGTGAGAAACCCTAAGAAGAGCCCCAAGTTAGCTGCATGATAGTACAGCAAACTGTACTGAAATGTAAGCGAAGTGAACTATAAAAAAGCAAATCTTTGCACACGTATCTGACAACTACAGCAGAGACAGCAATTTCAGAATGACAGGCCATTATACAAACATTGTGCAAATAAAGGCTGGAAATAGCTTTTTGGTGTAAAAAAGAACTATTTAAAAAGCGCCACTTCCTGAACATCAGGCCACATTCCTAAAAGCTTAATAGAACTGTTCCATAGGTGTCACTACTTTTTTACTATGCACTCTTCAGCTACTCACTCAACCATAGGAGCCTCAGTCTCCACATGCCCAGCAATGATTGCTTCTGCACGACTCCTTCTACACTAAATTCTGCAAGGTTCAGCTTATATGTGGAACACAATACCTGCAGGGTTCTTTACAACCTCACTATAATACGGTACAGTGAGGCTAAGATATTTGAGATCACTGAACTTGACAGCAGTAGCAGGAATGAGCTCAAACTGGATAAACGAAACTGGAGGACAACTATTTCTGGGAAAATTTCTTGTTGGAATTTGATAGACTATTAATACATTTGATGTAGAAGTAACTACCATGTTATTTAAAATGTGATTATAGATTTTTCTTAATATTGTAGTACAGTCCTAACTACGGTCCTAAGAAAATGGTTAAATCCTCGTCTCTCTGGACGGAAGGGTAGATAGTTTTCCTAGAAAAAATATTTCTGTGAACATCCTATGACAAAAATCTAGATATTACAATGGGAGCTGTCTTTGCATGCCCAAAGGGAAAGTAAGTAGTCTTACTTCTGACAGTTTATTATCTCAGAAAATAAAAAACCTGAGTCTCCTTTAAGCCCAGTTTTCTTTGTACTAACTCCCCTTAGCAACATTTTCCAACAATAAAATTATTCCTGTAGCTGGCAAGAAGAACCTTCCTCTGAAACATGTGAATTAAAATCGTCTAAGGAGGAAGAGAATTGCATTCTGACAGAAATGCACTGCACAACACAGATATTGTTTCACATTTCTTCGTGATAAAAAGATCTGCATATCCCTCTGCATGCCTATGTGTGTGGTTTAAATCTGTTGGCCCCTGTAATTAAAGCCACCTGACTTTCTGTGAATTAGAACTGCATTTACTGTATGAGCTCCAGGGCTTCCAGGTCTCCAGTGTGCTGTGCCTGCTAGACTTACAGGGATCAGAAGCAAAGTCTGGGTTCCAGCCCAGAATTACAGCCAGCAATGCTGTGCAGGCAGCCCTCTCTCTAAGGAAAAATATATTTTGTTGGGTTTTGTTGGGGTTTTTGGTTTGGTTTAATTTGGTTTGGGTTTGGGTTTTTTTTTTCAAATTGATTTTTCTTTCTTTCTTTCTGCGGGAGACTTAGTTGAGGGGGAAAAATGTATCTGTTTTTTGAAGACACTGAGTGTTAATACTTCATTTCTCAATTCATGACTGGAGGGACTACATGGAATTTCCTAATCACTGAATACCTAGGCCAGGATTCTGGGTATCAATAATCTAAGAAAACACAGGTTGTAAATTATTTTCTCTATTTGACACTCAGTGTTGATTGTCTTGCATGACCATGACTATTGTCAAAGTCAAAGCTAATTTTTATGCTCACTTGCTACAAAGGCAGCTGGCACATATATGTGCCAAAGCCTTTGAAGGTTTTTTGTTCTGTTTTTTGTGCTCCCGGGATTGAAAGTTGAGTCAATTTACCAGCCGAGCATTAACACTTACACAAAGGGGAGAGGTTGCTGTGTGTAGCACTGAGTAAGGTAATTACCTTACTACTACCAATGGCATCACTGGTTTCTCTCAGAATTACTACTCTCCACTGAGAAGAGCAAAAACAGTCTATACTAAAAACTTTCAAAATTTCAAGAGTGTTTTCCAGCCACAGTATAGAGCTACCATCAAAAATCTGAAACATTTTGTACTTACGAGCTTTGCAATCATCGCTTTTTTGTAAAATGTACTGCCATCTATATTCTACAGGGAAAAGTAGTAAAAGTAGAGAAATTTCAAGTGATATGGGTACCAAGAAGCCTGTCTCAAGTATGAGACTGTTCTGAGATGCTTATCACCCACTCCTCTTTTGGGTTACTAAATTTCCAGATGTAAGTTGATACTTTATTACAGGTTTTATTGCAGAAGCCCAGTACCTTCTATTTGCTTGAATAGGTAATGTGAAAAATGGGTTATTATTAAGTTTATGACGGTATAAGCAGTATAGTGTAGTTCAACAGGAAGAATTTTTTGGCTAGGAAGGCAGAGCAAAGCTGATCAGTGTGGCTGTCGCTTTCTCAAATTTAAGAACCAATTTACTCTGAAACATTCATAACATCAACAACTTTTACACAAAATGCACCACTATGTAGTTCACCTTCCTAAATGCAAAGAAAAAATTTAAAAAACAACCTGTAAAAAAACCCAAATGCAGTCTTCCATTTTGTAAGAATGAAATTGCTTCCTTTCATTTATTCAAAAATAAGTGCAATCATAAGTGTGCTCTTGGGTACAGCAAAGATGAGGTATCAAAGAGAGAAAAATTATTTTTCCAGATGTTATAACAGATAGAAAGGAAAAGTAGAATACTACTTCCACTTGATGCCAAAACTTTTAGCAAGGATTCTTTTCCAAGAAGTCATATCATCCTTGCAAACATGATTATGTTTTGTAGTGTTGTTTTGCTGACAGATATCCCCATTTAAGCAATGAACATATCTCTTGATAGCAACAACAACCTCCCATCATCAAAGCTATAATGGTACATATACAATAAGCCATTAGTTCTCAGCATAAGCATCACAGAAACCAATATAACTTGAACTGCTCTAATGAGAGCAACAATTGATTCTCTGCTGTATTGGAATTTGATATATTTAGGTCTTTGTGCAAAGCAGATGCACTGTCTATAGAAGAAATTTACCAACTAGACACTAGAGATGATAAAGAGTAAAACACGGGAAAGGCAAACTGAAGTCTATTTCTATTAGGCAGAACTCACTCATATAAAATTCTTCATGCTGTAGCTCAAACACATCAGCTTAGCCACAAGATCCAGCAGACTGACCCAATGTCTATCAACTGTTGTGGCTTTTGGACCAGAACCTTGCTCCACGCTGAGCTGAAGGCTGCACTGACATGGTGGTTTGCCTGACAAACACCACTGTAACTCCTTCCACACAGAATCTGTTTAGTCAGCAACATATTTACAGCAGTCGTGACAGCTACTTCAGTGCTGCTCTACAGCTGCTCTACAACTATTTTTCTACAGCTTTGTCTTGCAAAGCCAAACAAGACATAGGTATTTTCAAGTACCAACTGCAAAGCCACAAAGGCAATTAATATAATTCCATCTCTTCCTCCTGCTTAGGATGTCCTGCTACATGCACTCCATGTCTCCCCTTGTCTCTGTGTGCTGACAGAGCATATGCCTGCTCTTCAATGAGCTATATTGCAAAGCCATGCTGGATGAGAAGCTGCTTGCCAAGACAACTCATACATGGCTCACCACAGATTTGGTGATAAGAAAAATAATTTGAGGGACCTAAGCATCACAGAGTAAGATCAGCTCAGGAAAAAGATCTGGTGAAAACATTGACTTGGTGCTTGAGTTTCTACTTTTTTCAGTATTAGACATGTCCTTTATGTGATGAAATATATCATCTAACATACTGTCTTTTCTAATAGTATTAAACCTAAGTTAACTTTAATCTTAACCTGTGACATGTCAGAATTAACCAATTAACCTTTCCTTTTCCAGCATATATTCTTCTTGGTGAAAATGATATTGCCATTTGTTGTGATGTGCTTTCATCTGCAAAAAAAAACCCTCTCAAAGCTCATCTTTACTGCTAATAGCCTTCAATGTTCTTTTCCAACCAGCAGTTGAACTCCATGTTTTAATACTTACAAAGGCTGAGACCCTACCAGGGCATTTTGCAAACTAAAGCTTCGATTCTGAAATCAAATCATCAATTTGAATAATTGTACAGATTTAGAGTCTAAATATAGAGACCTAATAAACTGTTCCTATTTTATATGTTTCCTATATTACATGAGAAGAAGTGATAAGGTTATATGTGAAGGTTATACTAAATCAATCAGTCCTTTCTATGAGTGTAAAGTGAATTAAGCAACAGCTTCTTTTTTTTCAGCCAGTGGTTTCTTGTTATTACACATTTCTGAGAAATACTAGGTAAGTGTTCTTTTCTTTTCTGGAAGCCAGAAATGCACAGTGCACCACACTAGTTATAATTATTCCCATAATAATTTTCTTTCACAGGTAGAAGTTTTCAGCGGATGTCTATAGGCCAATACAAAATGAAAAATGTTATTCCTGTACAGAACAGCCTAGCTCCAATACCCAACCACAGTGCCCACAAAAGTAAGTACAGACAAGTGTCAGTTACAGTATCACACTGCATGCCCCCATCGCTGGCGTCTGAGGGCTTGAGAGAGGTTTCATGTTTGCTTTTTCACAGCATCATAGAATGGCAGATGTAGGAAGACACCTTTGGAGACTGTCTGTCCACCCCCCTGTCCACAGAGAAGTAGCCTACAGCACATTGAAATCACACCCAGTTTTGTTTTAAATATCTCTATGAATGGATATTGAGACTACACAGTTTATCTGGGCCTTCTCTTCCAGTGTTTGACTACACTGAGAGGAAAAAGTTTCTTATTACTTATTTGTGGCCATTGATTCTTTTTCCCTCCACAGGACTCCACTGAGAAGAGTCTGTCTCCTTCTCCATTACTCCCCACAATCAAACATTTATACATATTGACAAGATCCTTTGAGCTGCCTTCTCTTCTTGAGGCTGAACAGTCCCAGCTCTTTCAGCCTCCCCTTTAAGGCTGTCACTCCAATCCTTTAGTAATTTCCATTGCCCTCCATTGGACTTGCTTCAGTATATCCCCCTCCCTCTTGTACCGCGAGCCTCAGAACTGGACTCAGAACTCCAGATGTGTTTCACCCAGTCTGAGTAGAGGGAAGAATCACCTGTCATAATCTGCTGGCAGTGCTCTTCCTGATGCAGCCCCAGACACTGTTGGCTGTGTTTCTGCAAGGGCACATTGCTGGTCACATTCAGCTTGGGGAAGCAGTGGTCTCAAAGAGCAGGAGAGCTTCACCCCACACCCAGAGTCTTAGCAAACTGTCAAGACTGTGGTTGTTCCAGGCTGGATCAAACCAGGAACTGGGGTGCTCTTCATACACAGACACCAGCCCTACTCCCAGCAGTGTCCTAACCTCACATTATTGTGTTCCACAACACACAAATCTCCATTGTATATTAGATGAGGATTCACAGTTTACTAATTGTCATTCTGTGGATCAGCCAGGTCCTAAAATATTCAGACCTAAATTTAAGATTTCCTGCTGCTTATAATCTGAAGGTCAGAAGCAATTCTGCAATGATGACAATATTACTAGAAATGAGGCAGAGGCAGCCTTATAGAGACCATCAAATGGGGTAGAGATATAGACAGAATCCTGCACTGCTGCTGTTCTCTACATCAGACAGGAAGAAGAAAAGGTGTATGAATTACTGAGGTGGTATTCTCTCTCTGCTCAGAAGGAAGAAAATAATTTAATTGTTTTTAATTGCTTTTAAAACCCCAGGTGCAAGTGTTCTATTTTTTAATCTTTCTACTCGTGTTCTCTGTGTCTTCTAGTTAAGTCATAGCTGTAAGCAAAATCTTTTAAAAATTCTTTCATAATTGTTCTTGCGTTAGTTCATACAAATGGTCAACAATTTAGTTCTAGTCTCATGCCAAAAGCTGTCTTACAAAAAAGATACAATTGTCACAATTAAGAATCATGGTTTCATTAACCAACACAGCACATTTATCCAGGTGCCATTACTGCTTGAACATTAGTTCAAGCCAATAACAGAAAAGCAAAATAATTTGCAAAATAGACTGTATTTCTTGTTAACACAAATGACATATTTGCTCCTGATGCTTTCTAAATAACTGAGAGTCTCATTTCAGTATGAGATTTCACTCATCCTCCATCCAGCCCTAAAAGTATTATCCTTTTGGACATAGCCTTTATCCAGACAAAGTGCTCCAGCAATGAAGACTGAGTATAAATATTTGTGTTTCACTACTATTTTTAATACCAAGAAGCTGGAACAATAAAATAAGCAAAAACTAGAATGAGAACTGAAACTACACTAACAGAAAGAAGAAGTATCTCCCCAAAAAAGGAAGGGCAATAAAAAACAAAAGAAGGAAGAAATTATCTCGGTAAAAACATTTTAAAATACACATTAGAAAGAGGAAAATAGGAATGAAACAATAGCCTTTGAAGAGTACTTAAGTGACTTTAAACCATAAATTCTCACCCTTCAGATATCCCCAGGGTGAGAGATCTTCCACATGGCTTCCTGAGTAGCTTCAGCACAGACTGCATCTCCTCTTCTGCTTCATCCCCCAGACACTCTTTCCATCTCATTATGCAATGCTTCCAACAACCCCTGAAAAATAGATTGTCACACATTCCTCATAAAATGCTAGAATAATTTTTCAAACAAATATGGGACTTCTAGATAAGTCTCTGCTGCTGTCACTTCTTCATGTAGTTAAGGTCTGATGTTTCTGGAGACATCAGAGGAGAAAACGTTTGTCTGATGCACAGAAAGTGACATGATTACTTGCTGGGGAAAAAAACTCCAAAACAACAACAAATTTAAAAAAATAAATTTAAAATCTATTTCGACAGGTCATTTAACAATATTTTCTGGAGATGTGTGGTTGTTTTTGCCATTATTCATCATGACTTGAACTTTCTTCTTTCTCAAGTTAACAGTAAAGCATTCCACAAAGGAGCCACCTCTCTGCAGAAGGCCACTGTGGTCCACTGCTTGCAAAGGAGGGGAATCTAAGACCCATTCTTCTGCTGGACTCCATACTCCTTGGGCAATGCCTTTCTGACAGCCTTATTTTTGCCTCTGCACATTGTAATAGCAGCCACTCCAGAGTCTGCTAAGTGGAAAAGCCTTCCTGAACCAGTAGCTCCTATTATACCACTAGGTCTTCGGTGGCCAACTCTGCCCTCTGGATGTGAATTATTAATGGTGCTTTTGCTGTATGTAGCTCCTTAAGGAGCCCTAAGGGCTCTGCCTCCCACAAATCCCAGCTCTGGGTCCAGGCTCATGTGTTTCAATACATGTACTAAGACTACTCATTTTATGCATTGTTTCAGAGCCATCCATGTACCAGTCCTGAAGTCCTGAATCGAATATCCTAAATTGAGCACAGTATGTGGGACAATGTGGAAAGCACTGATGTTTGGATTCTTTGAATGAGCATGAGTTTGTGATGGCTGCTCTGTCATGGGCGTGAAGTTAAGCTACAGCACTTTTGGCCTACTTAAATCCATACCTTAAGGCTTTTAATGATGTACATGAAGTGCATAAAGCTTTATGGATATTTTTCACACAGACGTGAACTTTGAGTATATTAACATATGACTATGTTCCAAAGAGGGACACAAGCGAACCTCTCAATATTTGGTTTGCACACCAAAATTTCAGTGAACTCAAAGCATTCTACCATGTGCCAGAAAACAAATGGGCCCCTTTATAGTATATAGCCCTCTCAGATTCACACAAATTCAACACCAACTAGAGCAAATTATTAATGGTTTGGGGTTTCTTAATGAAAAGGAGAAGTCATTTCCTAAATTTCTGTACATGAATGAATCTTAAATATGATCCATGAATTACAGTACACTGCTAGAGGCCAGACCATTGTGGTAAACAGTGTCTGCTCAGACAATCATAACTTGAATAGTAATTGAAATTAGCTTAAAAAGAAAAGAATCTCCCAACTTTCTAAATCCTCTCTAAAAGGATCTATCTTTGCCCTAAATCGTAAGGTAAGCGTAATCATAAGCTTACCTGGTAAGCTGTAGAAAAGTACTGGTCCTGAAAAATAAATAATCAATAATTAAATTAGTATAAGATGTATACTACAGGGGATTATGACAAGAATTTTAGCCTCTTTTGCACCATGTGTATGGTTAAAATAGAAAGATACGGATATGAATAGACAAATGTATGCAGTGAGGGCCCACTGCAGACATTAGAGAGGCAACATTTGTTTTCAATGGGGCAAATTAAATGAAACACAAAATTTCCATCTAGAACACTTCAGAGGAAAGTGTTAATAGCCTCTCAGACAATTAATCACAAATATGCAGATGGAAGGAAATCACAAATGCAATGAGAACATAACCAAGTGTCTTAGTTTAATTTCAATTTCCTGGCCAATGCACCAAATAATGTCATGGTTTTGATTTGCCAATTGGTCCCATCAGACTCAGAGGAGGTTTTTCCCATAGAGGAAAAACCTATGAGTCTATCCTTCCTCAGGTAAAACTAACACACCAAGAAAAAATGAATGTAAAAAATTGCAATAAGATTCTGTAGCCAAAACAGAGATAGCGTAACTCCAGAAAGAACTCTTCATATGCTTAAACTGTAGAAAAACATATTGTTTCTATACAAAGAGCTTGTGAATAAAATGGAGATAAAATGAAAATAATCTAATGCTATTCACAATAAATTGACAGCACAGAAAAGTAGGTCTACAATTAAGGTTTTGAATTCTCCTTTTAAAAAATCAGGAAATTAGGAAGTTGTCTGAATAAGGGAGCCTGAGGATTTCAATTCAGAGAAAATACAGAACAATATTAGCTTTAAAGCTAAACAGTGTTACACTGGTGAGGTGGAAATTAAGGATGTTCTAAATCCTCCGTTTCTTACCAAACAATAGAGATACATAAGTGGTGTGCCTCTCATGTGTTTGGGTGTGTGTCTTGGTAATGGGCTACTTTTGTGGCCTGTGAATAGCAGACCATGTGTGGATCTATCTTTGTGATTGACTGTGCCTAGAGAAACCCAGACGGAGCATCCCACATTCTTACATTTCATCTTCTTTAGATTTTGATCAGCATTTATCTTCAGTGATAGAGCATTTTTGGAACACTTCTGTTACAGTCAGCCTGTGCTTTCTGATGAAAAAATGTATTGTGAAAATTTCTCCAAACAGACCAAGTCTCCTCCAGACAAACTATAGGTTCTCTGCTTACCAAAAATAAATCTTTGAACTTTTCAAGACTTACTGGTCACTAAACCAAAAATCAGTCACTTTACACTGGAGTTATTTTCTTCAGATGAAGATAAGTCTTGCCAGGGTTTTACAATTTTTTATTAATATTTTTATCATATTTTTCAAGTACAGGCTTGAGTACACACAGTAAGAGACAACAGTTTAAGGAAAGTTGCAAAATCATTTGTAAAAATGCCGTGCTTTTCACTTTCTGTGCACTTTCTCTTTTTTTCTCTTTCCTCTAGTTCAGCTACCATCTCAGAATGCTAAGTTTAAATCCCTACGAACTGGTGCAGTTATTCTCCCATCAGCTCCAATCGCCAGATCTTCAAAAACAGGACATTCTCAGAGTCATATCCTCTATTCTCTCTTGCCTGGTCTATCAGGAGAGAATCTAAAACCAAGCTGTGTCCTGCCTGCTATCCCAAACCAGAAGAAATCTAATCCTGTAGAGGAGCTTGAGAAATCACTCGCCAAATCAGATGCTGAAAATTAACTCAGTACACTGGCCTAAATTAGTTGAAATATGTCTAAGTGGTTATTAAAAGACAATTGTATAGTTAAATCTCATTAATTTGCACTAATGATACTCTTGTGAACTGGAGCATAACAGAAACCAAGATAAGATAGCACATCACAAAAGCTGCACTGTGTGTATATATGTATGCATTTGCCTTATAGTTTTAATTTAAGATGAAATTGCTAAATCAACATTTAATGTGAAGCAAATTTATTTTGTGAATGGAACCCTCATAAAGTGATTTGTTGCAGCAATGTGCTGTTAAGCTTTTCATAGAAAAAAGGAACAAAGAGTAAGGTTTTCTGCATGATTTAAAAGTTGGAACTAGGGAAACAAATTGACAGGGCTTCTCTGTGGTTTGTAAATGCAAAGGTGCTGATTCTGATGCTGTGTGCCATAAAAAACCATATTTTTAAGATTAAGAAAATAAAATCAAAGGCTGCTTTAGCAATGGAGGTCTTTTGTCTCTTTGTTTTTCACACATTTTCTAAATTGTACATTTGTGGGTTTTGTGAATTCAACAAAGTAATATGTACAATGAAACACTAATTCTGTGGAACAGAACAGACCTTTAGCATGCACTGTTCAAAACTGTTCATTCCACTGACAGATTTATGTCTTATTTAATTCTTCATACTCCCCAATGACAAAAATGCACTATTATCTTCATAAAACAAGGATTTCACAGTCCTGAGTTTTTAGGTTTTGATCACTGAACTGGAGGAAATTTAACTAGACTGCTGTTCAGTCAAGAACTTTTACGAGTGGTATAAGCCTTTGACTAAACATTGCACAAGACTGTCCCTTCCTAGAGGCTAACAAAGACGCCAGCCTCTGCTTGCTTCAGGGTTCTTATCTAAATCTTGCTGCAACTGCTTTAGAGGCTTCTCTGCGTCTGATTATAAAGGGGCTATGGGCTGGGGGAGGTTGTCACCTTTTGTCACTCTTCTGTATCCCCACTTCTAGTAAGCAGGTCCAAAATTAGCTCTACATCAGCAGCTCATTCAACAAGGACGTGGCACTTCTGTTTACCTCTAGATAAATGTCTTATTAGCTGTACAAACATTTCTTTTGCTGTGTTACAGTAAAAGACAAACTTGACATGAAGATAATCATGTTCCAGTAGCTGCAGTTTCCAATTTCCTAGCGCTAATGACTGTAAATAAGATGGCTGGTGGCTGTCACAGACAGTCCCAGAAAGAAAAAAGCAGAGCACAACAACTGCTGCTCTGATGCAACACAAGGAAGAGGGAACTTTTGCACGCAAATAAAAGAATGTTTTATTTTTAAACATCTCACCCAAATGCCAGAGTATAAATCTCAAATTCAACAAGTGATATAAACATGTAGCTTCTTGATAAAAACGTAAGACTAAAAAGCTCATGTGCTTGGACCTCACAGACAACCTAATCCCTGATGCTAGATGGGAAAAACATTGCATGACAGATGCACGCACTTTTAAAGGAAAAATACGTTCTGGCATGCTCTGTCTTTGCACCTGACCAGTCCAGTTCAGCCCAGCCTCACTGAAAAGTCCGGAATCTATCCTGTAGTGTAGCAGACTGGTATTTGCTCCACAAGGTCACTGGCTGAGCTGCTCTCCCTGCCCTTCAGAGCCCCTGAGCTTCTCTGCTTGAAACTCCACCTATTGCAATCCTGACTTATCTGTCTGTGTGGTCTCATGCAATAGACAAATGGTTCATAAGTTATTTCCTAGAAACCTTAAAGCTTCAGTGCACACTTTATGTCACCACTTGGTACCACTTGGTACCCAGAAAATGGTTTTGGTGCAGTGTGCACAGAAGAGAAGGGAAATCTAATTCTTACGGCTCTGGCCATCACAAGAATGAGGCTTCTCTTCACAGAATGAAAGCCTAAAGTAATCATTCTGACAGAAATTAATTATCTTTAGTTCAACAAACTGCTTGGGAATAGGTACAACATGTGGAAGAGAGGGAAGACCAAATGGCACAACAAGGAAATCCTAGTAAGGTCAAACATTCGTAATTCCTTTGCCACATTAGCCCTTTTCAGTGGTATGGAAACCATGCCTTTAGCTAGGATGCCTCAAAAGAGGCTGGTCACGTGATACAACTTCAGTTTTTCCTGAATAGAAGAAGATCCTCATTGCTACTGCTGAAATTGAGAGAGGAGGTGAATCTCTCTCATTTCTTGCATTATCCTGCATGTCCAGGGTCCAGGAGGCCTGGGCTGCCTAATGGCAACCATGAAAGCTGTGGTGGCACTTATTTGTTCACCAGCCGCTGTTCTGTGCTGGAGAGAAAGATAGAGCAGTCTACGTTGGCTTCCCATAGAGGCTTGAACAAATTTCAAATGTTTCCAGTATTACAGCGGGAGAAAGGGAGAGAAATTCCCCCATGCCTTAGGCTAGACACTTCCATTCCCAGAAAGGAAGCAATCAGGTTTCTGGTTTTCCTGTTCAGCAGTGCTTTATTTAGGCAGCATGAACAAAGCTGAATATTGAACAATTTCTGATCGAAGATAACACTGTCTTTCAAATGAAATTCCTTTAAAAAATGTAGAATTTCAGGTACAGTCAGTCACTTGTTACCACACACGTTACCACTGTCTACACCATATATTTGTGTGACAGAAGACAGGTGCTAGGTGAATTTTTCCTATAATTTATCCCTCTTTTCCTCACCTTCTTCTATGAATTAATGTTTTTTTTCTGGGGTTCTGCAACCCAAGAAAGGCTTTTTCAGGAAAGGAAAGCAAATCCAATTGCCTGTTCAAATGTAAGCACAGAATATACTTCTTACCTGAACAGAGACAGTCATAGGAGCTGGTAATCTGAGTTAAGATTCAGGTCACTTTTCTAATGTGTTTCTTCTGTAGATTGCCAATAAGGAAGTAGTTTGTGATTTACCAAATATAGATCTTTCAAAAATTAATGCACATAGAAAGCATTATTCTCAGAAATGTTCCTACCAGAAAGTATTCTTATCTTTTGAGTTTGGTTGCCAAATTCTACAGTAAAGGAACAAATTAAGGTGAAGTATTTCACCTTCAATAGAGAGCAGACTGTTGACTGCAGCATACTGCATGAAAGATAACAAATGAACCAATACCTACTTAAGCTACTCTGACCTCTTACTCAGACCTTTCCTGGAAGATAATGGCAGGAGAGACAATAAAAGGCTAACACTGTTGATTAGCAATTGCCAAGAAATGTCTGGTCGGTAGGTCATGACAGAGTTTTTTTTCCCCTCTGTCTAGTGATTAAAAAGTCCGGACACATTCTTCTCTGACACTAGTTGTGTGTTTATTCATAGAGTGTAAAGTATTCAGGTGTCTGGGGAGTTCATCTTGGCACAGGGAGCTGAGAAAATTATATACACACAAAGGATATATTTTCTGAACAAAACAAAATTTATCTCTTCACTGGCATAGGCTCTACATTCCTTACACCATTCTTCTAATTTCAAAATGCTTTTAAAAGCAGTCTTTATTCCAGTGGACCATTTGCTTATACATTGATACTGAATGGACTGGTCCACTCTTCCAGTAAACTGTGCAGGTGATTAGCCTTAGCATATTATTTAAAATGGAAAAATATTCACACGTAAAACAAAGAATCACCTACCACTCTGATGATCTTTCAAAGGTTGTTCTATTGCTGAACAGAATATCTGATGAGCAGGCTAATTTTCTTGTATAAATACCTACAGAGGAAGCTATATCCTCTAAAATTCAGTCCTAATAAAGCATTTTAAAAACCTCTACCACTGACAAAGGTGGAGGTCTCTGTCCCCTCACCACTAAATAGACTGTATTCTGCTACCATCACCAAAGGATTGTCTGCACAATCCATATATTCTTCCACTGCAAAACACAAGAAGCATCATAGCTACCACTCTGGGACATAAAAGCATATCAACTTTTCAAACAATTATAAGAGGGCTTTAAGATCTCATGTGATCATACTGTCATCATGGCTCATCACACCTCTTGCTCTGCATCAGCATCTTCATAATGATTTAGGAGAAATATTGCAAGTATACATGATTTACCTTTGTATTTTAAAGGTGGAAATTTTTTTCTCATTATTTTCATAGGGTTTTCTCAGGATTCAAAGAATCATAGGAAATTCCTTATATTCTGAGATTTTTCTGTGTTGGCTTTATTTGTGCAAAAGCTCACCATTATAACAGAGGCAGTTTAGACCAGATTGTCCAGTGTCCAGCCTCAGAGCCACCTCAGACCAAGGGCACAAAGCAGTACTAGATGTAAAGCAGTTGACACAGAAACAAAAAATTATAACCTCATGCTTGTCAGGATCCTAAAGTCCAGCTTTTCCTCACAGACAGCCAACACTGACATGGGCCTGCCTGATGCAGCTGCTACTCAGCTTAGTAAGGTCACACAATCACAGAATCACTGAATTGTCAGATTGGAAAGGACCACCGTGGGTCATCTGGTCCAGCATCTCTGCTCACCGACATTGTACAGCCTTCTGTAGTTAAGTTTCCATTCCCATCTCACTGTTTGTGATGCTTTGGGGTACTTGGCATCATAGTGTGACTTTCTGTGGCTCTGCAAACACTAGAAGAACCTGAGAACCTGACCAGAGTCAGGAGTATGTTCATACCTGTCTAAGAGTATTATTTGACTCTACACACATGTGCCTTACTGCACCTTTGCACAGGTTTCTATGTGCGGAATTCCATCCTTTGGAAGAAGAATGTGGCAGAGTTCCTTGGAGCACACAGGAGCAGATTGAAACTGTCTGAATGCACTAAAGCACAAAGAAAAGGCTTGGTCCAACTGTCCCAGTGTGTCTCAGAAGCCATCACCACCACTACAAAAGACCCCACAGTCATACCTTTCCTATCAAGATTACATCAGGAAGATTAGTTGGTAAGAGTAGAACTGAGGAGAAGGGTCAGGAGAAGCAGATCCCCTTCTCACACACAATGCCACAAACTTCAGCTTGCCACCCGAGCTGAAAATAGCTTTGCATACACACTGAAGGCTGTGGACGGAGACCTTCCTACAGTGCAAGAATAGTTGGCTGTACTTAATTGTATCTTTCACATAAGAAGTTGAGAGCAAATATAATCTGAGGAAGGAAAAAATATAAAGGCTGACCTGAAATGCTGGTTATACAATACAGTTGTAAAGACTGCATTTTTGGTTTCTAAAATTCACCAAACTTGTAATATTTTTTATTTGATTCTTGCAGTAGACTCTTAGAAGTAAGCAGAGATTTATAAGCAAGAACCAAATAATATTAGATAAACTAAATTGTTAAATAATTCTGTGAACTCAGAGAGAGGCTCTGCCACCTCTTCTGTCCAATCCTAGCACCCAAGAGATGTAAGTTTTTCAGATCTAGAGGTCTGGAGCTTCTTAAAAATTCATTCACTCTCCAGCCATGGATCCAAAGAGACATCCTATGTAGAGAGTTTAT